ACTCTTCAACTTTCCTCCAGTTACAATCGGCTAAGAGTCGCTACTCTCATGAAAGACAATCTTGACTAAGACTGTTGACCATTGTCTTCTGCTTTGACAAGGACCTCAGTCTTCTGGTATCACCAGTGTCTCATACTCAACAGGCAAGCCTGCTCTACAAGTTTTCTTTTTGACCTTTGAAAAGAACATATATTGCCAGACAGTGATGGTGCACGCCTTTAATCCCAGCACTCAGGAGGCAAAGGCAGGTGGATCTCTGTGAGTTCGAGGCCAGCCTGATCTACAGAGTGAGTTTCAGGACAGCCTGATCTACACAAAACTCTGTCTCAAAAAGCAAAAAAACATTTATTAAAAAAAAAGTGAAATATGTTTTTATGGGGTTTATGTTCATGACATAACAATTTAAGAAGTTGGTTCTCTTCTTCACCATGTAGATTCCAGGCTCAAACTAGATTAGCAGCCTTGGACAAGTTCTTTTACCCAATGAGCTATCTCACTGGCCCAGAATTTCTCTCCCTTGAAAAAAATAGAAAAAAAGCGGGGGGGGGGGGGTTGCTGAGAGATCTTAGTCAGTAAACTGTTTGTTGAGCAAGCATGAGGGCCTGAGTTTGATCTCCAGAACTTCTATGAAAAAAAAAAAAACATGAGTTAGCACTGCTGTGGGAGAATGCTCTTGTACTCCGTAAAGATCTGTCACTTATATTGGCTTAATAAAATGCTCACTGGTCAGTAACCAGACAGAAAGTATAGGCAAGGAAACCTGACTAGGAGAATTCTGGGAAGGAAAGGCAGAGACAGTCACCAGCCAGACGCAGAGGAAGCAAGATGAGAATGCCTTAACTGAGAAAAGGTACCAAGACACGTGGCTAAATATAAATAAGAATTATGGGTTAATTTAAGTTGTAAGAGCTAACTAATAATAAGACTGAGCTAATAGGACAGTTTATAATTAATATAAGCCTCTGTGTGTTTCTTTGGAACTGAAAAGCTGCAGGACAAGGCGGGACAGAAACTTCTGTCTATGTAACACGCTGTTTGTAATCCCAGCACTGAAGGATTCTTAGAGCTTGCTGGCTAGCCATTCTAGCCTACTATTTTTAGGCCAATAAAAGACCTTACTTCAACAAGGTGGACGGCTTTTGAGAAACTACACCCAAGGTTAACTGTGTCTCCACATGTATGCACACACATGCATCAGGACCCACATGCATGTCTGAGTGCAGACACACTCATAAACACTATAAACATGTAAACTCTACCCATAAACTCATAACCTCCCTCCTGGGTATCCTGTTCTTACTTCCTCACCTCACACTCCTGTATGTGTGTGCTGTATGGGTATAATAAGTGCAGGTGTAGGTGAGTGTGACTATGGAGGCCAGAATGCTTACTGTCCTCCTTTTGCTCTCAGGTTCATTGTCTCTCACTAAACCAGAAACTAGCTAGATCGGTTAGCAAGCAAGCTCTCAGGATCCACCTGTTTCTGTCCCCCAAATGTTGGGATAGTAGGCACATGCAGTCATACCTGGCTTTTAAGTGGGTGGCTTTTTAAAGCTTGAGATTCAAACTCAGGTCCTCATCTTCACAGAGCAAGCATGCTTACCTACTGTGCCAGCCTTACTCCCCAGGCCCTACTCTCTCTGTTTAATGTATAAAAATCGTGATTCTGTCTGGACATGCACTAAACTACTGTTATCAAGGTTCTCTATGCTAAATCCTCCCAGACATTTCCTCAATGCCACCTCTCTATAGCATGTGATGCTCCTATGAAACCACCATAGTGGTGCTTCTCATAGGGATTCCTTCTTCAGTCTCTACTCAGACCTCATCCTATACCAGCTTCACACTTTACTACAATTTTCACTATTATGTATCAACAATTACTTAAATTTTCAGTTTCAGCCCTTCTCCTGACCTTTAGAATAACATGTCCAAGAGGTTACATGATATCTCTCTCCATTTACATGTAGGGGAAACCCCTTAAGCCCACCATGTTCAAAACTGCACTTTCCCAATCCTTTTCATCTCAAGAAATTGCAGTATCATGAACCCCAATTCTTTAAAAGCAAAACCCCCCTTTTTACTTTTCACTAGTTTAGATTTGTGTGGGGAGCAGCATTACATGAATCCTGCATCCATTGGTCTTTACAGGATGGTTGCCACCATTTCTATGGGCTCAATTTACCTTTTCCCAGATTACTTTGATTTTGTTTGGTTTGCCTCCATGAGTCCCTGTGTGATTTTTTGCTTTGTACACACAAGCACATTTCTTGCCTTATAGAACTCACTTTTACCCCAGGCAGAAACACCTTCCATTTGAAGAAGAGTTCTGTACTCACTTTGGTTCTAGAGACCCTGCTTATCTAGTAAAAATAGTTTTGCCCTCAGCCTTCCAGACACGGTTTTTTAGAATTCTTGTTCCCAGAAAACCTCTACAGGCACCAAAATGAAGAACCCCAAGTCTTAAACAAGAACAAAAATACTACCTGTCTTCCTTCATGCTCCCTGCCCTCCACTTTTTGTTGGTAAGTACATTTTTAACAACGGGAAAAAAAAAAAACAAAAAAACAAAAAAACCAGACTGGAGAATCTCTTTTGCTGTGAACATCTACCATTTCTTAAGGTATGTGAATAAGCTCAAAATTTAAGATGCATTTTACCTAAAACATTAAAATCAATAAGAGGCCAGGCATAGTGGTGCAGACCTTTAATCCCAGCACACTGGAGGCACACATAGGGAAGCAGGAGGATGGTGAATTTGAAGCCTGGCCTACAGAGTAAGACCCTATCTCAAAAAACAAGAAAGGAGAAAAATCTGGCAACACTGTTTTAGCATATAATCTACATACTCTTTTCAGTGCTGGAGACTGAACCAAGGCTTTTGTTCATGATAGGCAAGTCTCCACCACTCACCTTTTATTTTTATGTATACCCTCACTTTTTATTTTTAGATTTATTTATGTGTATTATTGTAATCTGAATGTTATGTACACTACATGCATGTCTGATGCCCATGGAGGTCAAATCCACAGGAACCAATGACTGTGAGACACCATGTGGATGTTGGAAACTGAATCCAGCAGCAGGTGCTCTTAATCATGGAGTCATCTCTCCACCTTCCTGTATGCTCCCTAACTTTTTAAAATAAAAATTTCCATTTGAAGCCAGATGATGATGCATGCCTTTAACCCCAGCACTGAGGAGGCAGAGACAGGCGTTCTAGGCCAGCCTGATCTACAGAATGAGTTCCAGGACAGCAAGTTACACAGAGAAATTCTGTCTAGAAAAAACAAGCCAGGTGGTGGTGGCTCATACCTTTAATCCCAGCACTCAGAAGAGAGAGACAGGCAGAGCTCTGTGAGTTTGAGGCCAGTCTGGTCTACAGAGGGCGTTTCTGGACAGGCTCCAAAGCTAAAGAGAAACCCTGTCTCAATAAAAATAAAAGAAAAAAAAAACAAAGAATCCCAACTTTTTGAGACATACTCTGCCCACAATTCCCTCTGTAGTCTAGGCAAGGCTGAAGCAACAATCTTCTTGCTTCGATCTCCCAAGTAGCTAGGATTAGAGGTCACACACCAAGGGCAGTTTCATTTTTTGACAAATGCTAATTTAAGGCCAAATGCTTTGCAAGCATTATGCTAAAACCTAGGATTAAACTAAGAAATAAGACAGACTTGGAACTTATGACTGGGTGTGGCCCGGGCAAAGTTACCAGAATAACTATGCTGACAGCGAACAGACTGAGCTACTGAAAAATGACAGCAGGGCAATTCCAAATACTAAAAACAGAACCGCCAGCAAAAGCATAGGGGTCTAACGAAAATACCTAAAGGCCATCTGAGATAATTTGCATCCTAGATGACATATAAGCAGAATTGTTCCTGCCCTCAGCCTAAGGAAACAACACATAAAGTAGAGACGCGTATGAACTATATTAATAAAAATAATTTCCATTTCCCACGGGGCTCAAGGCCAGGAAACCAGGTCCTCGCTCCTCCTGCTGCCAGGGCAACAACGGTTCTAAACTGAGATAGAGACAGCATGTTTCTCTCTCGGTTCAGTCACCGAGGGCTTGAGAAACTCGCTCTAGCTCTACTGAGATGAGAACAGAACCAACACTCCAATGAGCCGGTCCGGAAAGCAAGCTCCCTTTCCCCTCGGTAGCCCTTTTTGAATCCTGAGCATCACCGATGGGCCAGGGCGACCTCTGTTCTTTTTCCGGGAAAGGGTCTGGTTGGTGGCCTCCTTCACCCAACCAATACACAGCGGGGAGACCTGAGAGTTGGCACCTCCAGAGACGCTGTGAAAACAGTGCTAGCTGAAAACCAACATACGCCAAAGGAAAGAAGTGGGAGAGAAAGGAAAAGGGCTCAAGAGAGAAGAGTAAGCGTGAAGACATCGGAAGTTTCCAGAGCAGCAAATAAAGAGACTACAGGGCAACAATCTCCAAGCCGGCTCTTACCATCTGTGGGAGACGCCATCTTCCAGCCCATGTCACGTGACGTGGCCAACCGTCGGCGGGAAAACGAGGCCCCACAAGCCACGCCCCTACGGAGATACCCTATCCTCAACTCGCGGCCCAGGCTGACTACCCTAGCCCATAGGGTAATATTTGCCTAGTCCCACCCCAGACGGCAGCCCCTCCCGTAGTTGTTAAGGTGGAACGCAGGCAAAATTTCCCAAGGGCCTTATTTACTTTCCATAGCAAGAGGGCGGGACCTCGGGGAGTGCCTACCTGTAGCCAATCGGAGTTCCCGGTTAGGGGGCGTCTTCCCTATCTCCGCTCAGTGCTTAATCTGCAGCACCAAGTCGGGGTGGGGGCGTCTCCCGACCTCCGCCAACAAAAATCGGCTGAGGTGAAAGGGGGCGAGAACGCTTCCGCTTCTGACCAATCACATATCTCCAGGGCTGGGAGTGATGGGAGGGAGTCAAGAGTTCTGACAAATGATTGGTTAGAAGAAGTGACCATCTCCTCCAATGGAAAGGCCCGACCTGTGGGCGTGGCCTAGCGGCGTGACTTCTCGGGAGGCACTGGCAACCCCAGACTCTGAGAACTGGACCGAAAAGCTGGTGAGCCATGGCGTCGGCGGTGGCGGCAGCGGCAGCAGTGCGGACCCGGATCCTGCAGGCGAGTGAGGGTGGCGTCGAAGGACCGTGATGTTAGGAATGAGTCCTTATCGCCCCAACTCTAAACCATGCTCCTGCCGGACAAACTTATTGGCCCAGACCCTTTGCAGACCCTCGTTCCACCAAACCCGTGGGTCCGGGTTGTCACTCTGTACCGTCTCTGGCCTTGGATCCAGCCCCGGAGCGTCACGCCTGGCTCTCCGTCTTTTTACTCTTGAACCTTTCCTTTTCTGGCTCTGACCCACCCACCTCCCGTTAAGCTCAGTCCCTGCTGTCACTAGCTGGCCACTTTCTCTCTCTGGTTCCTACTAAGGTCTCTCTTTCACCTCTGCACCAGCCACCTCTGTTCCCCAGGAACTCCCCGTTTTGGTCACCTTTCTTAGAGTACTTTACTTTGCCAGGAGTGTCCCTTCCCCCACCCGACCTCTGTTAATAATCTGAGGTAAGGGGGCGGGGGAGCTCACTAGGGTCAGCGAAGGATCTTCGAATCGCCTAGAAATAAATGTAGCCTAGATTTTCACTCCAAAGGCAGCCATTTGCTAGCTGTTTTCACAAACTATTATGGCTCCTAGTGTTTTTCACAAGTTCTGGGGCCAAGTTAAACTTTCTCTGCAAAGTTAACCGGAGTTAATTTTTAGAGTTAAATAAGGGCACGTTGTTAATACTGCTTCATTCAAAAGACTAAACATTTCCCAAACAGGTGGTAGAAAATGGAAGCCTGGGAAAACACGTTCCCAAAGCCAGCTCCCCAAGTGCCAACACACCCTCCACTCTGCCAGACTGGAATGGGAACCCCGCAAAATCCAGCCTAAGGGCAGTTATAGAGCTACTACGGAAGCTTCAAGCCTGTGATCCCAGCTTTGTGTATAGCCTCTTCTGTGTTTGTACCTTAGCAAGGCCTTAGAATATGAGGCAAGATTTACTATGTTCCTGGCAAGATTCATAATCCTGCATTAAGCAACATTGTCTCCTTCTTACTCATCCAGCCTGGGAAGGTCCTCTATGCTGTTGCACTTATATCAAATTATATTTCTTTTCATCAGGTTTCTATGAGTTCTACTGCAGAAATGTGTTTGTTAGATTATCGGTGGAGTCTCCAAAGGTTCAGGATTGAATGTGTTGTTTATGGGACAGTGTGGAGAATGGGCTGGAGGCCATAGAGGGCTGGCATGACTCCACTCCCTAGTTCTATTCCGGTATCTTTTTCTAGTAACAGAGACAGCATTTCCAGCCTACATTTTCCATTACCAACCTCTTAAAATCCTTTATAGAAATTGCTCCGCCCCCATTCATTGTTAGCCCATCACCACGAGTCACTGACAATCTTAAGGTATTTTGTACTTTGCACAGAGGAGCAGAATCTTTCTTCCCACGCATGTTATTTTTGAAACAGATTTTTTTTTCTTTTTAAACACCAATTTGAAGAAACCTCTGATCTGACTTGGGGAAAGGCCAGAACTAGTTCTTAGACAACTAGGAGTTACTGTAACGTGATATTCTGATAGAGGCTTGTCTGAGTGGCCATGGTGGCACATGTACACAGGGCCAGCTCTTGGAGAAACTGAGACAGGAAAATCGCTTGAGACTGCTTCAAAACTAGCCTGGGAAGGGAATCAGCCAGAGAGCAGGAGGGGAGAAGAGGAGTCAATTGAAGACAAAAGTGACAAACAGCATAGTCTAATGGTATGCCTGAAAATGCTGTAATGAATCTCATTATTTTGTAAACGGTTACTTTAAAAAAAAAAACAAGAAAGAATAGTTTCTAAAACAAAAAGTAAAACTGGAAACTGGAGAAATAGCTTGGAGGTTAGGTAAGAGCACCTGCTGCTCTTCAGAGAACCTGTGTTCAGTTTCCGGCACCCACACTGGGTAGGCCACAACTGTCTCTTAACCCCAGCTTTAGGGGATCTGCTACCTTCTGTACCCATCCATGTTGCATACACTCACATATACACAAAATAAAAAAAAAAACTTAACAGAAACAACAACAAAACCACCTGGGTAACATACTAAATCCCTAGCACTAGAAAAGGGGAAAAGAAAGAAAAATAAACAGAAAAAATTGTCTAAATTTGACAGCCATGGCTATTAGAGAACTATCAGAAGAAACTAGGAAGGATCAAACTCATGTTTTCAGAGGGGCTTTTTCTTTTCTTTTCTTTTTTTTTTTTTTTTTTAGGCTAGCGTACAAAGTAATGAGTGAGCTTTCAGTGAATTTAAATGAGAAGACAAAGGGAACAGCAGGTAAGGAGTTAGTATCTAGAGCAGTGGTTCTCAACCTGAGGGTCATGACCCCTTGGCATTGACCGATCCTTTCACTGGGGTTGCATATCAGATATCCTGCCTATCAGATAGTTACATTATGATTCCTAAAAGTAGCAAAATTACAGTTAGGAAGTAGTAATGAAAATAATTCTATTGTTGGGGTTCACCACAACATGAGGGACGGTTGAGAACCATTAGGAAGGTTGAGAACCATTGCTCTAGGGAGTGAAAGTCAGAGGCTAGTTTCTTCAGCAATGGTGCTAATGAGTATTTCTTAGGAAATGCAAAACAGATATGAGGTCTGACCCTGCAAAAACTACATGGTAATATTTCATTATAGTGGGTGTACTGTCTGCTTTATCTTCTTTACATGAGGAAGACTGTGTGTAAGTTAAAACATAAAAGTAACTGACCTAGAATGCTTAAATTAGCTGATGCGTGCACTTTTTATACTTAAGGGAGAACACATGGAATAATATTACTAACAAATTATTGCTTGGTGAGTATTCATCCTTTAAGTCTGTGAAATATTAACAAATCCTCAGTCTGGTAGAGGGATTAGGCCAGGGGCAGAGGACACAATGGTCTAGTGATCTAAAGAGAGAGACACTTAATAACTAAACAAGCTGCTATCCTGTAATGTGGAATGAAAAATGGAAGAATTGGGGTCCTTTATGAACTCCACAATTAAGTGCTTACCCCATACCTGAGGTTGAGACTTCCTAGAAAAGACGATGGCCAACTAGAAACCGGAGGGAGTAAAGAATGAGCCAGGCAAGTGGCATGAAACAGTCAGACAAGATGGACAAAAGCAAAGAAGATAGAACTTGTCCAGAAGGCAAAGCAGGATAATGTCTGCCTCCAGAGTGGCTGGGGTAGAGCGCAAGGAGGAAGTAGCACTCGCGCCATGAAACTGGGGAAGCAGAAGTACTACGCACACAATCTTCTTCTTCAGAACAGCACCGGGGTGCTCATCTTGATTGTAAGGGCAGCAGAAAGTCACTGGAGGTTTTGTTTGCTTTGTTTTTGTTCATTTGTTTTTCTGTTTTGTTTTGCATTGCTGGGAATGGAACCCAGGAACTTATGCATGCTTGTTACTTTACCTCTGAGATGCACTCCCCGTGGAGTTCAACATAAGCGGGTAGTCTAACCTAATTTCTCTTGGAAAGACCCTCTGATTATGGAATAGAAACTAGATTCAGAACTGGGAATAGTGGGGCATGCCTTTAATCACAGCACTCAGGAGGCAGAGCAAAGCAGCTGGATCTCTGTGAGTTCAAGGCCAGCCTGGTCTACAGAATGAGTTACAGGACAGCCAGGACTACACAGAGAAATCCTGTCTCAAAAACAAAACAAAAAGAGAGAGGGAGGGAGGGAGGGAGAGTGGGGAATGAGGGAAAGAGAGAGAAAGGAAGGGAGAAAGATAGAAGGAAGTGGATTCAGAACATGTAAGATAGGAAACTATGAGACTTATTGGAAAACCACTATTGAAATCTAAGAGACAGCCATGGTAATGACTTGGAAAATGACAGGGTGAAGAGAGGAAAGCGCAGTGTGTTCAAAGATTTCTAGGAAGATAGATTGCCAGGACGTGTTTAGTTCACTGATAAGAGAAAGGGAAGAGATGAGGTATCATGGTCAGCCAGGTAACTACCCTTTGCTCGGGTAGGTGGGCTGTAGGAAGTAGAGCAGACTGGTGGGAGGAAAGGGAGCAGTTCAGCTATGAAAACAGTTACATGGTATTACCTGAAGGAGAAAAGTCTGGCTGAGAACTGCAGTCGTGGGGATGATCAGAGCCTAATGAGGCCACTGGAGTGGTTGGATTCTCTCAAGGAGTGTGTACAGAACATGAAGAAGGAAAACCCAGGGCTAAGCCTTGGGCAACTGATTTAATGTCCAGGAAGATGAGAATAACCCAGCGAAAGAGATAGGGAGTGGATACAAAGGGAAAAAGCAGCTGGGGCAGCGGTGTGTGTGTGTGTGTGTGTGTGTGTGTGTGTGTGTGTGTGTGTGTGTGT